ACACAAGGATCCCCTTGGCGCGGCAGTAGGACAGCGCTGGGGTCTGGGGCAGCGCGGGACCTGAAGGAATAAATCAATGTTTAGGGGGTTCACACCATCTGGAAACATAAAAATCCGCACCGGGTGCCGGGAGCTCCGATACCGAAGACCCCAGTGAGCTGGGATGCAAACACCCAGAGGCGTAGCGAGCGCCCTCCGTACCCTCTGACCGGAGGGGGCCCCACAAGGAAGGGGGCCCCTAAAAGTGGCAAAATAAATACCGCATTCCAGTTTCTGCATTGTAAGGGGCCCCGCCCGGACATATGTTCGGAGGGAGCCACCATTCGGAGGGGGCCACGGTCTTTGTTGCTACGGCCCTGCAAACACCCAGCTGTTCCCTTTGGGCCAGACCCTCGGTGCCCCCCAGTCCCCCAGTGACAGACCTTCCTGCCCAGCGCCATGGTGGGGTGTAGGAATTGGGGAATAGCTCCTTAAAAAGCCTGCGAGCCCACTGGTGGTGCTCACTGTGCCCGAGAACCCAGCCAGAGCAGCAGGGGGGGTGTACAAGCCAGGCCCACACAGGCTGTTCCCTGCTGTGTATGCTCGAGGGGGAGGGATGGAGTGAGCGTCACCTTCACAGGCCACCTTGGGGGAGGCGCTGGCCGAGCTGTGGCTGACGGGGTTTGTGGCCGTGCAGGTGACGGGCGAGTCCTCATCCCCCAGTCTGTGCTGGACCAGCAGGGATACCTCAGTGGAGAGAACGGCGCCTCCTGCTGGGCGTGTCCAGGTGTAGTTGAGGTGCCTGGGCCTCTCCCCGATGCTGCAGGTGAAGGTCACGTTGCAGGTGCCGTTCCCAGCCATCACAGAGTGGACCCTGATCTCCGGCTCCGACAGTCGCTCTGGGGGCCAGACGGGGACGGGAAATACAAAATAACATTGTACAGAGGCTGCCGTGGTGAGAACCTGCTGCAGGCCATAGGTGCCTACTTCCCCTCTGCCCAGTAGATGCTTGACACCCCCCCGGCCCTGCCCCTGCCCCTGCCCCTGCCCCTGCCTGGCCCTCCAGGGCCGGCTCCAGATTTTCTGCCGCCCCAAGCGGCTAACAAAA